ACAAGGAAGAACCTGGGATAGAAGAGGCAACAGGAAAGAGCTAGGCAGAGTTGCTTTAGCTCACTGGGAAGTCAGAAAAAAAAAGGGGCCTTAGGGACAGGTTCAGGGGGTTAGCCCAGCTGAGCTGCCACTGCCCATTGCTCCCCTAGTTGCAAGTTTTGTGGGGACCCTTGGAATTTAGGTGATACATGCCCGTGGGAGAAGAGGAGGAAGGGAAAGGCATGTGTATATGTGCTGGGTTCTTTGTAGGGTTTTATCTCTTCCTTGCAGAAGGGAATCTTAGTGGAGACCTCAGGGGAGGGTTTCAGGAGAATATTCATCAGCTTTCTAGGTGTGCTCATTCAGAATTGTGATGTCCACTGATTGGTCAGTGCCAGGGCAGGGGTCATTAGCAATTGCAGCTGGTCTTGGTGTCCCCCACCTGGTTTTGCTGCTTTGCTGGGATAAAACTGAGGCCTAGATATTATCTCTAGGGGGGGACCTTCTGTATCTGCTATAAATTGCTCTGCCAGTTTGTTCAGCTGTCAGTTTCCCCCTTCCACCTGCCAAGGAATTTTCCTAGCTTCTTACTATCCTGCCTCAAAAGGATGATATATTTAAATGCATTCTCAAATGTTAGCTAACAAACTGGTTTTATCACAATTTTTCAGACATTTCTTCGTCAACAAAAATCTGATTATATCTTATTGGTTCAAGCAGAAATATGAATTAGTATAAATTAGGAATTAGAATAAATTTCTGGTCATGGTACAATTCTAATAGTTACTGAATAAATATCAATGGATAAATTCCATATATTCAAATATGAACTATTAGTAATACATTAAAAAGATATGGGCAAAGAGAAGCTCTTGTTTTAAGGAAATCCAAATGTCAAAAAGTTTTGTTATTGAAACAAGTTATGGAAAAAAATTTATATAAAAGTTAGCTTCTATTTCCAATATTACAAACTTAGTGATAATTTAAAACAGATGAGATACCTAGCATAATAGTTCAAAGAACGACATTCTTTGATGAAAAGCCAATTCCTGTTCCATCTAACTACTAAAAGGGCCCAAATTATTTTTTATTCTAAAATTTCACTGTATAAATTATTTCTGAAAATAAGTGGGTCATCAATGAGAAGTGTAAACTCATGATTGAAGAAAGATAATAAAAAAGATACACTAATTTAATTTTATTCTAAGGCAGCAAAAAACTTGAGACAAATCAAGGTACCTTTTTTACCTTTGGCATCCCTAGAATCCAGCACAGTACTTGGCATATAATGGGTGATTGGTGAGTTTACTTGAGCACTATGAAGTAAATTTTGAACTTTCCAGGTTTTTGCACAAGCCCGCTGTCACTTGGAATGTTTCAAATAAGCAGCCTTATTATTATAAGACTATTATTATAGTTAACTCTTTAACACTAATACATGGAAAGCCCTAAAAGACATTCAAACTGGCCTTTCTTTTTTTTTTTCTTTTTTTCTTTTATTGATTTTTTACAGAGAGGAAGGGAGAGGGATAGAGAGTTAGAAACATCGATGAGAGAGAAACATCGATCAGCTGCCTCCTGCATACCCCCCCCCCCCTTGCTCTAGTGCAGTGGTTCTCAACCTTCTGGTCCTTTAAATACAGTTACTGGAATCGAACCCGGGACCCTTGAGTCCGCAGGCCGGATGCTCTATCCACTGAGCCAAACCAGTCAGGGCCTAACTGGCCTTTCTTGATAAAATGTATTATTTCCTAAGTCTTCCCCTAGATACTGATAATCTAACCTGGCATTTTAGAAGCAGAGGAGTTCTACTTGTAGTGTTTCCAACCATCTAACTTCTGACATGAAAACAATGTTTTAGGTTTGGTATCAAATATTTCATGAGAAAAGAAAATTCCTAGAACTCTCAATTCTGGTCATTAACTTCATACCTCTCTGTGCAAGCTTTAAACACAGTACAGAAGAAAAAGTAAAGGATCTGGAATCTGGGTTCTAGTGCAGCTCTGCCACTTACCAGCCATGTGACTTGGGGCAAGTTCAGTTTCCTCATCTGTAAAATGGGGATACATTATCTCATTTAATACTCACAATAAACCCTGTAATGTATGACAAAGTGTCTAGCACAGTGCCTGGCACATGGTAGGCATTCAGCAAATGTTAGTTCCCTTCCTCTTCCCTTCCTTAAGTTCTGAAAGACAATGTTCCAAATTATGCTTATACTGCATATTAATTAAAAGGCAAATAACATCCATAAATATATTTTCCCCTCGAGTTTCACTTCTAACAAATCTAGGTAATAGAATGATTGACATGTGTGGCTCTTATTCCTTATTTTGTTTAAAAATATGCCTATTAAAAACTTTTATAATTTTTATTATATCCCTTTAAAGAATAAATTATTAAAAAATAATATCACAAAAATACCCCTTTAAATATAATAATTTAAAATAGACAATGAGGAATCACAAAAAAATAAAATGATATAATCTCATCAGACTGGTAAAGCCCACAAGTCAAAGAGGTGTTTGTTTCTTCCTAACAAAGAAAGAAATAAGAAACCCAGCCAAATGCCCATCTTGATAGCTTCCAAAGTGAAAGTTTATCAACACCCCAATGGTGATTTTATTTGCTTATTATTTATCAATTGAGATCTCTATAGTACTGAGCACATTAACTGATCAAAACAATTTTTATATATGGAGCTACTACCTTCATAAGTCATTTCGCTATGTGTCACTAATCCCAAGTACACCGAAGTAGTAAGCAACAGAGGTAACAGTCATACTCAGAAGCAGGGAGCTCATCACTTCTCTGTCTTTGTTCTCTCCCTCCCAACTGCCACACCAGGTCTCCTAATGCCCAGATCAGGCTTGTCATTGCCTGGCATCTAACAATGTCAAAAAGTTTCCCTCCTCCATTGCTCCACTTTTTCCAGGAAAATTAAATCCTACATAAACTTATAAATATTTAAGCACTAAAGTTTTCAAATTTGTTACAACACACAAACCACATAAAATTAAGTCGTTAATTTTTACTTAAATTACACGAGTTGTGCATTAAGTGAAAATCTTAAGAGTGAAAAAAAAGTTTGTAAAAAATTATAAATATTGACATTGAAAGTTCTATATAATAAACATATTGTCCTAGGAGAGTAATAATACTCTAGAAAAAAATCCATTTTGACTACTTAAAATGATGCTAACTTCCTTTTTTATGTTTTATAAACAGTGTTAGTTTATCAATGTAAGGTGAATTTTAAGGAGCAACATAAAATGGTGTGAACAGAACCAGATAGTCTGAAGAGCCAAACTGGTTTACCACTTATTAGCTATGTAAGCTTGGAAGAGTCATTTATCCACTCTGATCTGTGTTATTATATGCAAAATGAACGTAATATCCATACATCAGGGAGAATGCATGGAAAGTGATTTTCCTTATAGGTTATTTAAATACTAGAGGCCTGGTGCATGAGATTCGTGCACTGGCGGGGGGTGGGGTGGTCCCTCAGCCCAGCCTGCACCCCCTTGCAGTCCGGGTCCCCTCGGACTAAGGGGTCCCAGACTGTGAGGATCAGGCCTAAGCCAGTAGTCAGACATCCCTCTTGCAGTCCAGGGCTCTCGCAGTCGGGGACCCCTCCCTCCTTACCGCCCACCTACAGTGGAGACAGGAGAGGCTCCCACTCGCTGCTCCTTAGCGCTGCCTCGGAGGCAGGAGAGGCGCCTGCCACTGCTGCTAGGTTTGCCAGCTATGAGCCTGGCTTCTGGCTCCATGGGAGCGCACTGACCATCAGGGGGAAGCTCCTGCATTGAGTGTCTGCCCCCTGGTGGTCAGTGTGTGTCATAGTGACCAGTCGTTCTGCTGTTTGGTCGATTTGCATATTACAGCTTTTATTATATAGGATGGTTTCCTCAGTGAGGCCTACTCTAATCCTTCAACCTATATTACCTGTGGGTCTCTCATGATCTGATAGTTTCTTTGATAGCTCTTACCACATTTATATTTATTTTATTTATAACATTAAGTGATTTTTTTTATTTTAAAGTTTACATAAATGCAAAGTATTATTTTATTAGACAGTATGTTTATATAGGCAAATAAAACTGGGAAAAGTGAAACAACTGTCCCAAATTATCTTTCATTAAACATTTTTCAAAAATAGTGGGAAAATAGCATAATGGCAATTTCATACAGATTTGAAGCATTTATTGAAACTTACGGTGACTTATATTTTCACTTCCAACATGATTATAATTTGCCTTGCTACCAACTTCAAGAAGCTAGTACACCTGATAAAAATCATTCTTTTACATGAAAATATCCAAACAAAAACCTTTTCCTCTCACAAAGGTGAAATGTATCCCTGTATCCCTATTCTCATGCATCAAATATTAACTAAGATACTATTTTTCAAATTTAAATTATTTGGAATGTTTGTTTTTAATAATTAGATGTGTAGGCTGAATACCACTTCTGAGTTTTTTAGACTAAGACACTAAAAGATAAAGAGTTGGGCTTTTAACAATCAGCTTATAAATAAAGCCAAAACTATTTCTAATAAAAATGTAAATTATATCCAACATAATTATATAATTCTACAAACTATAAATATTCCCTTTTCACATTCAATTCAATGAGCCTATAAGTAAGTGCTCCTAAAAAACTTTCCCAGGCCAGTCATTATTGTTAGCAGCCTGATTTTGGTCTAGATCGGTTTTTAAAACTGTAAGATGTAGACCATTGGTGAGTTATAAGATCAATTTCATGGGTCAAGAATAGCATTTTTTAAAAAACAAGTAGAAAAGTATGAATACATTACATATACTATGGATAAGCATTACTTTTGAGGTGGATTTTATATAAAAGTAGGGCACACACACACACACACACACACACACGTCTACCACATCATGATATAAATGTGGGTCATGATCAAAAAGTTTGCAAGCCAATAATCTATCAATCCACCTCAAAATACAAACAAAACAAGAGGCAATGTCCTTTCCATTGTTAAACAGCATTTCAAATAGAATTGATTCTGTCAGAACTGACTAGATTTCCAAAAACAATGATTTCCAAAGGCACAATGAGGTCTACTAAAAAAGTTTGACATTTTAAAGTTTCAACATTTAGAAAATTTTTAATTGAAAAGGGTAAATCATGGTGATGTTCATTTATTTACAAGCAATAGTTTAAAATTATGCAAATTTTTACCTTAAATATTCATCTTTAAGTATATTCTGAGTATTTTAAAATAATTTTATTTTATTTTTTGTTATGATTATCATGCTTAGAGAAGTCAAATGGTAAATTGAAAGGCTTAGTTAAGAAAGATATAAACAAACTAATCACTTTTAGAAAATGAATATATGCACAAAATGCATTTGGTTCTAAAATCATATGACATGCAGTATTTGAGATTAATTCCACCTATATCTTATAATAAATTTGATAACTTCTGCAATCTATAACATCTTTAAAACTTTACAAAACTTCTTTGAGAAAACCAATAGCTCAAGATAATCTTAAAAACAATTTAATACAGATGTTACTTGCTCAAGCAATGGAATGTTTCTATCTAGGAAGAGGAGCTGAGACCCACTAAGACGTAAATTGTGAGCAACCTGTTTACAACTATCCATTCTTCATGAATTCAAATGCAACTCAGTACTGGGTAAGAAATAAAGCACCACTCAATAAACAAAGTTGAAACAACATAAGGGGCATTAGCGACTAAATCAGAAGCATTACCTATAACTAAGAAAACCAAACCACAGAAAGAATTACAGATAACAAGTTTAAATAATGCGGTCTGAGGGAGATTTCAGACCTGCGCTTCCCTAGCTGTGCACTAGAGGGCGCCGTGAGCCGCAAATCCCACAGAGCAATGGCGTGAGGGAGCCTGGACCCAGAGCCCACCTCTTGCAGCACCTGTGGGCCTCGGGAGTGGTGCAGGGCTCGGGAGTGGTGCAGGGCTCGGGGGATCTGCCCACAAACGGGCGGTGCCGGCTTTCTAAAGTAAATACTTACCTGCAGAGAAACACTAAAGTGAGGCTTACAAATCAAGCTACTCAGTCCAAGAGCGATCTCTGAGAGAGGCAAGCCAGGAGCTAGTTAACAACCTCAAGCTGTCAACAGCGCTCTGCTCAGCTCGAAGGAGCCGAAAGGAACTGACTCAATCACAACCTAACTGGGGGCTGACGTAAATGCGCAGTCCGTTTGGAGTTTAACTTTTCCACTTTCCTGAGGAACCACGATTCCAGGAAATGCAATGACGTCAGCCCTTTGAACTCCATTAGAGAGGAACAGACCATTTTAGACACTCGAGCATCGAAACAAGTAGGCACACAAACGGTGGTCTGCTTTGGAGCTACATTTGTACACAACCACGGAATCGAAAGCTTGATTTTTTTTACAAATTGAACAGTATTTATGTTTAACTTGTAGCTGCACTGGATATGCAACAGGCTGCAGACGAAGTAATAGCTTATTTTAGTGAAGCAGAAAGAGAGAGAACTGCCTTGGGTCAATTAATATAATACTGAGCACAGAACCAATTACACTAAGATGCCTGCGTACTGAATAGATATAAAACTCCTCAGAAAAGCAATACTTTTGAAATACTCAGAGGTCCGTAAATAATTTTTCAAAACTTCCAAAATAATTTTGCAGAATTTAAATCTTTCTCTGAAGTTCTTACCGGTTTCATCTCCAGTTACAGCCATGATGAGTTTCTGCATACAGAACTGCCCTGTTCCTCCTTTCACAGGTCAACACAAAGTGTTCCAACTAGCAAGCATGTGCAGTTATAAGTGGCAGTATTGACATCACAATGACATCACTAGCCTATCACTGCCATCAATCTGCTTTGTCACAGACAGGCTCACTGAAACCAAAGCCCTTATAAAGAGTCTGTAATAAACCATCAAATGCTATTGTTTCCAATTTTTCATAAAAATCTGTTGAGAAGGGCTATGGCAAAAAAAAAAAGTCTCATTAGCATTAAAAGTTACCTGTTTGTTTCTTATGGGGCTACTTCTTTATTATTATTCT